ATAAAATAAACATTTTAAACTATCCAAGAGTATAATTAATTTTCTTAAAAATAATGTTATATATTTGTCGAATGCTGTTATATGAAAAAATAATTATCTGTATTTTTTGAAATTGTTATATCTTAGAAATAAAAAAATTATATCGAAATCAACCAAAACATATTATATTTTAAAGCTAAAAGTTGATACTTCGATGTGGCATTAATAAAATTAAGCATAAAAAACTAGCTGACTGCACTACAATGTTTTGAAAACTAACTTAAAATAATTTTTAAGAGCTTTAAATAATTTTTTACCATCGTTTTTTCGCCGCCATTTTTCTCAAAATTGTGATAGCCAGTTTTTGCCAACAGATTCGTGTTTAGCACGCAAAGATATGTCGGAAATGACTATTCACATTTGTATTGCGTAAAATGATATTCCATATATAGTGTAATTATTGAATTCAATAATTAAAGGTTATTATAGCCTTCGTATTTTAGAAAGAAATAAAACAGAATATGTATCCGATTAAAATATAAAGTTTAAATAATGTTTAGATTTAAATTTTTTATGTATCTAGATTATTATTATATTATTTTTATTATCAGAAAATAAGTTTTTTTTCAATGTCATATTTACCTTGAATGATAAATTTACTACAGGATTTGTGATTTTCACTTAACATTCAAAAAAGGGATATTGATTATACAATTTTCCTTGCAAATTATTATTAATTAAACAATAATTTCTAAACATGACAAAAAATTTGATTAACAGTGTTAATTATTATCAAAAAATGAATTTTAAACATAGACATATAAACTTCCATAAATTATTGACAGCTTTGTCTTTAAACAAAAATGTTGTACATTATAATTATTACGAATCTGTATAAATTTATTTTTTATATAATTACTTTTTATATGTTTATTAAAAATAGGCATAATTTGTTTTTCATTCAAATATATTATAATGTTACAGTCACCCACTATCACAATTACCTACAGCGATCCTACAAAGAAAGAAAAATCTGAACGATTTTCTTCTGCATTACTATATTAGCTAGAAAATTTATATCACATAAATATTTTATTCATAACATGTTATCGATAACATTAGCCTATTTAAAAAGGAAACTTCATGAAAATACATTTGTCAATTTTTAATAACTGATAAATTTATTTGCAACTACAATGCTACTGTTGCGACTGTCCTTCACTCTTTTCTTTTTAATTATTTAGTATGAGTATATAATTGTGCCGATTGTGTGATATTACGACGAGAATATTGAAGATAACAGCTGTGAAAGTTAACAAGTACACGAACTGGCACAGTTCTCTTTTTGCAATATATATTTTGTATGGCACACAAGGTGGTCATAATTTCCGAAAACTCGTTATACCGCAGGCTCCACAGCGAAGAAAATGCATTTGCTAGAGAACTACGTTCTTGTTAAACGAATCTTGAATATTTTAATATCTATATATGTTCTCATATTTTCCGATCCGTAATCTTAACTGCAACAAACACAATATTATCTTAATATAACATTTACTGATTTCCATTACTGAAAATATTGATAAATTAATGTATAACAGTTTATATTATAATTATTAATATATTATTTTATAATAATTAAGATAGTCATAAAATATTTAAACGGGACTCCTGTGTGATGCAAGCAAAATAAATATATTATTCTAGCTCGATCTTTGACTAATTTTGCGAAATATAAAATTAACTGAACATTTTTTTTTTTTATTTCGTCTGTTTTTAATAAATCAAATTTTATAATGATTTAAGCTTCTTTAATGTCAATATGTATTACTTTGGTAAATTAAAAGAATTTATTGCGTTGGAATGATAATATTTATATAGCTAATAAACAATGCTATATGACTCGCGTTACTATATTTAAGTATTGATAAAAGTTGGATAAGGAAGCAGCGTCACTGTGTTGTGAAAGAATTGTTTGAGCGAGAGCAAATACTATTATTGCTTAAAGTAATATTTCATCTCAATAGTTTTTATTGATTTTTTCCAATAATATTTTATTTGAAGAAAAACAAAATTTATGAAAGCAAGCGAGAGAAAGTATGGCTTTGAATTTCTAAAATATAATTGTGATATAGGACAGGTATAATAGTTGTTCGCTAAAAGGATTAATTATTTTGCCAGTGATATATATATATATATATATATACATGTATATATACATGTATATAAAATTCTTTAATTAAAGACAGAAAGTCAATGCGTTTGACAGAAAGTAGAAAAACTAATGCAATGAGGAAAACGTGAAATCCGTAGTTGAATCACTGTCCATCAGGAAGGAGGATCGGTATTTCTCTCCTTTTTCCTCTGTCCTTCCTCTTCTCTCTCTCTCTCTCTCTCTCTCTCTCTCTCTCTTCCATTCTCCATCTCCTTTCCTTTCGCGCTCTCTGAGGTGCCAGCCAGTTTCGTGATACGAAGCGGTTTGGATCGATAGAGAGTGAGCTCCTTCGAGCCCTCTCGGCCTGGCGATTCCTGGAGGATTCGGAGAAAGCCGAAATGCTCTCGAAGGAGGCCCCGGCAACCAGACCTCGATTTCCGACCCGGGGACCAATGACCTTTGTTCTTGTCTGGAGGGTTCGAGGACTCGAGTGGACGATGAAAGTCTGAGATCGCAAGTCGAGTCGAGGCAAGGAGACGCCAGCTGTGTGCCGGAAAATCGAAAACGCAGCTGCTCGAGAACGCGCCGCCGCTATTTCGAAGGAGTCGATGAATTTCAAGCCGATAGAATATTGTACACGGCCGCTACACTTGAATCCATACCGAAATAGTTCGAAATAGTGCACGCGCGCGCATAGCCTATACAGGACCGTGACACACAATGAAATATGAGAACGACATATGACCAAGAAAGAATACAATGGTAGGGAGTTACATGGCATCGATTGAAGTAATTTAGATTTTTGTCTTCGTCGAAGACAATTTAATTACGTTTTATTACTCTCGAGATCTAGATTAACGTATCACTGAAATATGAAAGATAAAAACAATTATAAGTTGAACAATTATAAGATATTAACATAGTTACACTTGAAATTACATTTGAACAAAACGCTTAATTCCTACAAATTTACCATGCGGTCTCGCATTCGTCAAGTTAGGTTTCTTTCTCTGTTCAAACACTCTCGTTGCTGTACATTTTGAGTGTATATTTTTGAAGCGAAGTTGAGTGGTTTTCCCCTTGCAAAATGCTCTTTAGTGCCATTTCGTGGAATATTTTACGCAAAGAGCGTTTCGTACTCCACATAAAGCGAAAAATCCTTAAATCTTTCGTTGGTCTGGCTCATCGCATATGGTGCGCCTCGTCTTATCGAATCCAGGCTGCTGCTGCATAAAATGCGTTATCTCCGCCCTTACGGTAAAAATTTAAGTCGCAAACGTTAACACACATTGTCTGTTCAATGAGTTCTTTTTTACGTTTTTTACCGCATACGATAGAATTTTTATCATTATGAGCATATAATGATGAAATATCGTGTAATGCGATTAAATAAAATATCTTCGTAGGTATTGCGTTGAATAGTATACTTTTTTAATTTGTTTTTACACAAGGCTTGTTTCTCATAGCTGAATTCGTGTACACTTTTTTAAAACTTAAAATAGGTATATATATTTGACCATTTGGCTAAAGTGAGGAAAAAAGTTCCAGTGCAATCTAGTGGCAAAAATAAAAAATAAACCTATTGTCACCTCTGTCCATTTGTATCATTCAGAATTTTATACTAGCGTTAATTTTCTTACAAGTTTTAAAGATTTGTTTTTTTGTCAACATATTGGTCACCAATGACCACCAATGCCATTTAAAAAATTAGTGTCCTGTCACCACTGAAATCTAACTGAAGTCGAAACTCTAACGTAGAGAGGAGCGTACACGCATGTAAACTCGTGCCAGCTTTCCTTTGGCTTCGCTTCGCCTCGGTTTTTGCTTTTATCGCTTCCTGGCTCCGTATCTCTCGAGGGAACGGAGAAAGAGAGAACCATACACCATCCCGCCACCGTCATCGTCGTCGTCGCTGCCATCACCGCTACTAGCGCGAGAGCAGCAGTTTAAAGGTAAACGGGTTTCTCTCTGCTCGCGCAGACACACCGTACCGCATCACCAGGAGGCTAGGCCCCGCTCTCAGCTCTCTCGCTGGCCCCGCTGTATATACGATACCCACATACAGTACGCAGCGTGCGCCCGGCACGAATCGCCACGCATATTGAGGCAACGGTGCCTGCCTGCCTGCCTGCCTGCCTGCCTGCCTGCCTGCCCGGTTGTCTGGTTTGCAGTACCCGCTCGATGCATATCGCGCACGCCGCTTCAAAATTTCATGAACCCGATAAAGGGAATTGGAGAATATCGGCGCGCGAGAGTAGTAATAAACGTTACAATGAGAAAGCAAAGAAGGGAAAAGAGTCTCAACTTCAAGCTCCAAACCATGTTGTTATTGTTAGCCGAGTCGATGTTTTCATCGATCGAGCGCTACGAGTTTCTTCTTTACATATTTTTACTTTTTTCGTAACCATTGTTCGGTTAAAAATATCTGTTCGGAAAGTATTGCGAGCTGTGAGTTTAAGGACGTATTGCACCCATTTTTTACAAGTGTGTTAATTAAATTAAGTTGTGTTTATAACGTTCTATTTCATTTTGAACCACATTTTTATTATTTATTTATATTGGTTGTTATTAATCAAAATTATTTTATTTCGAGATTGATCTGCAGAGGTTATTTATTGTTTACACTTACTTAACAACACACTTAGATAATATTATTTATAGTTATCTCCAAAAAACGGATAATTTATTGTTTTTTTTTTTGTAAAAGTAATTTATAGGATACACACAATTTAATTATTTCCTATTTATATTTAGAAAGATCATTATCTTGTGATTTTTTATTTTTAATTATTTTAAATTTACAAAAATAGATATCTAATAGAGAGATAAATATTTATAATAATAAAATCTTCATTTATTATTTATCATTAATTAGTAATTATATAAGCAACAATAATTATGCTATATTACATCTAATACATGTTAATACTTGTTGGCATATCGACAAGCATGATTTTTAATTAAAATGTTCAGTAAAAATCTTGTTGACGTTAAACAAAAGTTGTCAAGTCTTTAATAAATACATATACAATTAATTTCTAACATTCTGAAGGGAGCACACATTCTCCTAAAGAATTTAACAAATATTCACTTTTACATTGGCATCCTATCACGCATTGCTGAAAAAAGAATAATAAAATAATCGTAAAATATCGAAATTTATTAATGTAACATAATATTAATGTACATATATAATTAGGCTAATGTTCTATAGTTAATCGCTTGAAAAGAAGTATAAAACTTTCAATGGAATTAGCGTATTTAGCAAATTAAATAATACATACTAATGTGCAGGCTTGATTAGGCAGCGAGTTACAAGATGGTGGACATGCCAATCCGCAAGTGCTCCACTCTTCATTTCTCTGGCACAGCCTTTGTGCAATAGTCGTGCCTGTGCTTGTACAGTGTTATAAAAATTATAGTCAAGTTCAATTATAATATTAAAGTTATTATGCAATTAAAAAAAGGGAATTAAAATATACAATAATTATTTATGAAAGATCGAGTTAGACGTAGACTGAGAAAACTTAATGAATTCACGTGAAAACTTACTGCAAAGCACTCCAATCATTACAAGCAATACGAAACTAGCGCGAGACATGGTTAATAATTCTTGCACTTTATTTCATCGACTGATACCGGAATACGAAACATGCTGCACTTTTATACCCATCTGTTTATTAGCAGACCTTGTCAGCGGTTTATTTAAAAAAATAATATATATTATCTCTCTCTAACCCTATTGCGTCAGTACAGATGTTCACGTTGTTACGCATACATACACATAAAAACTACGTTGCATTACCATTAATAACATTACTCAGAATTTCAACATACGTAGTTGTAATCATGAGTATGAGAATTTAATTTTTATTGTCATAATTTAATTTAAATTTAAAAAATAATAACAAAAATCTTAAGTTTTTGTATAAGTACTTTTATATAAATATTCAGAATGATTTATGCAAAGTTTCATTGCGAATGCAGAGATTAGTTGTTTCATAAATAAATAATACAAGTAATCTCTGCATTACAATAAAATTTTACACAAATTATATCTTGAATATTTAAAGTACTTACATAAAAAAAATGAGATCTTTTGTCATTATTTTATATATTTCCATAGATTTGTTAGAACACAGAGATGAAAAAATACTATTGAAATAATTTTTGTTCCAAATTTCTAAACCGCTGCACAGTGGATAATGCAAATCTAGCTAAATAAAATTCCAATTTGTAAAAGATAATGAAATTATGTTAAAAATAATTTTTGTAGTCACTAATTTTGAATTTAGGTTTTTTAAACAATTTTATAATTTCGAACTATTTCCAAAATATATGTAGTAGGTACACAAACTTTATAGACACTTTGTATTGTGAATAAGCTTTCTCTGTTTTGTCCAACTTAAACAAATAATAATGTTTTGCTTTTATGAAAAAATAATTTCATAATTTCGATCATTTTTCAGTATTATTTACACACTTAATGAAATCTATCATGATAGAAGATAAAATATTTGCAAAAATTGCAAAAACTAATACATCATTTTTACGATGCTTAAAACATATCCTATAAAGATTCTAATGATGTATATAATTTCTTCGGATGAAAACCGAATGAAGCTTTTTCTATCCAATAATATATGCTAATTACAAAATAAAAGTACTTAGTACTTCTTATTAAATTTCTTCGAACACACACGATACAAGAATTAAAATAAGACATTTAACATTAACTGAAAGAACATAATTTAATTTTAAAAATAAATACAAAAATGCTATAATTTAATGTCTACAATTTAATTGAAATATATATTTTTGTGTAGAGTACAGTATAATCTTTTTATTGTTATTATGAGAAACTATTACTATGAATGTTGTTATGACAGCGCTAAAATATTTTATCAGCCTTATTAAAGGTAATTTATATAAGTATAAATATTTTATTATATGTTATTTGATTTATTTAAAAGTATTGATTTTTAGTTTTGTCCAACTAGATTTGCGTTTTATATCACCGTACGCCGTCAAATTTTTTTGTATTATATTTTTAAATGCGATTTTGAATAATCCATAATTTTTGAAAAATATGTATAATAAATACATCCTTAAGAATATTGTAAATAAACGAATTTGCTCGACAAAATGTACCGACGGATGTTATCGCATGTGAAGATGAAAACACAGGACTATGTTGACTTTTATGTTATAAATGATATATTACGAAAAATGTATTACGAATATTGATAATTCGTTCTTCTTCACAAAGTCCAATAACCCAACTTTCTCCAACAATCTTTATCTTCTTAATAATTTCTTTGTCACATGACAAACGGTCATATTATACATACTCTTTGGAATAGTGACAAGTGCTTCTAGTTAATATTATAATTGGTGAATCTTGTGAACGATATCTCGAAATATTATTTTCGTTTCTGATTTCATTCTCCAACGATTTGAGCAACTTATTTTCACCGCTGAGTTTCTCGCATATACAATTTTCGAATATTTTTTACAGTTTCTTCTTTAGTATTGTAACTTCTTTAGTAATGTAAAGGGGTAATTGCGTTGCAATAATTCCATACTCCGTTTACATTGTATCTTCATCGAGAAATAGTTCTTCGAACACAATCAATAATCCCGACACAACGCAAAGAGAGACGATATTAAAAATATGTAATAGTAGAATAAATGAAAAAATTCGTGGTCTTCTATATATATATATATATATATCTGTGTACATATATATCGCCATTGTTTCGCGATATCTCTCACTCGAGTATCGTATTTTGTTCAAAGATAATTAAATATCGAATTCTTCATCTCTTTTCCTCATCGACTTGCTTTTATCACGTTGTCAATGCCAAACGAACTATAGCATGAAAAGACTTCTTAAAAATACACGACTTATGGTTATCATTGGGCCCGCAGATATTTTTCTCTCGAACATGGGTCCGTATGAAAGCAGAGAGAAGGGCCGAGTCCGGGCCCGAAAGCAACGGGGCCTGGATATTCCGGTTCACTTAATCGTTTCCTCGGACCTGCCGAGAATCATGGGGCAGGCGATGCCATGGTGGTTCTCGAACCCAAAAAGGCCCACAAAAGCGACGGCGAACTGAGAAAGGATCCTGAGAGGGATCTTCATCTCGTCAAATAACGTAAACAGAACATCATATATAATATTCGTTTAAATTATCCTTCAAGGAATGATATTGTTTTAGCCAAGCGTATCTATATATGTTGTTCTTCTATCGTTCCATCGAATTTAGATGACAAATTTTCGAGTTGTAAATGATGAAAATAAATAGCAGTATACTACATGGCTCAGTGGTCGAATTGGAGAAGACGTCTCGAATAGAGAGGATAAAGAATCAAGTATTCAAACCTGGAATAATATTGTCTACAATAAACTCTTTGCAGGGTCTCAAGATGCTTATTAGCATCATTATTATAAAAATTGGCAATCAATTTAATGTGTGATATTATTGTTTTAATTTTAATCGAAGACTGTTTTCAAGACCGGTGCGCAGTTTGATGAACTGGAAATGTATTTAAAATTTTACATGGAAATACTATTAATTAAGATTTATCTTCATCTTATATTTAGCGCTTTTTTATTTATTTAAAATAAACTACTTTTCGATGTGTTTGAATTTAATGGGAATATATAATATATACCATGGTATATAATGAAATCTGATTCTTTTGTGGAATATAAAAATTAAATTATATATATATATATATATATAATATACTGTATATAATATATTGAATTATATCACACATGTATAATATACACAAAATATACATGTTTATGTCATAATGCTATTTACGATTTTTTAATTATTTACTATAATTTACAAGAAGATAAAATTAACATGATTTTAATTAACAATAAGAAGTAATAATTTTTTGAAACATTTTTTCTTAAAAACTTAAAATTTAATTAGTTTTTTTTAAATTAGAAATACATTTTTTTTATACGATTATACGATTTCTTTACTTTTCTTCATGTGAAAGTATTAACAAAGGATTAAACATTAAGAAAGTATTTTAAAAAAATTTACAAAATATTTAACTTTAGTCTAAAAAATTTTGACATGAAATATGAAATCTATTGTAAAATGTTTACTTTTCATTTACCTTATCATATTATTTTTAAATTACATAGTAAGGCAAAATAAGTTGATGTCTTAAACGGTCTAGCTGGATATTAAATGCTTGTATCATTCTGTGTGAATTTATATACTATATATTGTACATAGTTCTTTAAAACGCGCGCTGAAATGATTTTTCGATCTTGAAACGCTTTAAGATCCAGCTAGACCATTTAAGGCATTAATTTTTATAGTTTGTATTATTACATGTATGGTCCTATAATATATTATAAAATAATTTGAGTTAAGAAAATATATAGAGAAAGAATTCTATTTTTAGTCAAAGTGAATCTGGTTAATAATATTTATATGTAGATTTACAAATAAATATGTTTTACTTCTATAAATTGTGCGCCGGTTTATTGTAGGACTTAAAATACAATAATAAACTGAAACTGAAAATAACATCACAAATTATATTAATAATCAATTTAACCCTCAGTACCCACAAAGGGTTAACGTAATTCCCCCCCCTCCCCCGATTTTTATAGTTCAGACGTTTTTTTCCGATCCCTTTTCACTTATTGCAAAATATCTTTGTGCTATGACATTTTAAACTTTCTAACTAAGAAAATTTTTTTTCAGTCTTCAAACGATAGATTAAAAAAAAATTAATTAAAATCGATGCATTACAATCTGAGATAAATTTTTTGTATTATTTGTGTGGACATTAAAATGAGACACCCTGTATATTTATCGTATGTACAAGTGTTTAGAACTGATATAAACGGAATGATTCTACTGAAAGAATAAATTAAAAATAAAGTTCTTTTATACCAGGTTTTTTGTTCTTTCACGATTATTCAAAAGTATTTTTGAATAATCATCGGACACGCGTGCATTTAACACGTATTTGTGCTTATAAACATTACAAATATATCAAAACATTACAAATATTAAAAGAAAAATTTTAGGAATATACATATAATAAGATAAGATATATTTACTTTTTAAGAATTTTATTTTATTATTTTAAAAATATATATTGTTGGAAATGCATACTTATGTATCTAATGAATATTATAGCGCGTATACATACATACTTATTACTTATAGTATATTTATTCCAATTTATTTAAATATTTTCGACATTAGTAATTTTCCTTATAAATATGATTATAGTATAGTTATTATTACATTATATATATTTTAAGAAATATTAACATTTAATGACATTTGGAAAATAAAAATATTTTTTAAACACGTGCTTGTATAACAGACGCTTACATCATTTGAGAAATAATTAAATAATAATTATATTAATATAATTATTATAAGACAACAAGAAGACATGTGGAGAATATGATATTACATAATTTATTTCTGAAGAATATTAACAAATTTAAAAGATTTTGCCGTGATCAGATATTATGGATTATAGAGAGAGATTTATTTTGATTATCTGCGTAGTGTTGATAAACCTGTTTTTAATTTTATCATTTAATTATCATGGATATCTCTCGAATATTGTACA